TCCTGAATGTCAACCTGGATCTGCACTTCCTGTCTACCTGCCTGTCAGTGGCAGGAGGTGGAAAATTGCCTGAGCAGGGCTGTGCCACATCCAAACAATTTCAGCAAACATCCCAGTATGATTTAATGCAAAAAAATTGAAAGCTTTTAATTGATTTTATTTATTTGTTTGTCTTCGCATTTAAAAAAATCTGTTTATTGCTCCTTTTTTTAACCTTTGTAATTATTTACATTACATTTATTTAAGCTATTTATACATTTGATGTTTGAAGCTTTACGACTTTGTATAGCCCTCTTCTTATTTTGAGTTTTCATCTTTTCCTGATCCTGCCTCTGGTGGTTTGTGCAAAAATGAGATCGCGTTTCCTCAGTTCATGTTTTCATTGAGGTCTTTTATTGAGAGAGGTGGAGGACTCGAGTCACATGACTTACTCCACACAGACTCAAGTTGCAAATTTGAGGACTCGAGACATGTTTGACTAACATTGATATAAAACTGACATTGACTTGGTTTTTATGACTCACGACTGGACTTTGACTTGAGACAGATGACTTGAAAGGACTTGACATTTTTTAAATTTATTTTCAATTAAATTCAGTTTTATTCGTATAACGCCAATATATAACAAAAGTTAACAACAGTTAACTTAACTTAACCACCATGACCAAGCACTTGGAGACGGCGGCAAGGAAAAACGTCCTTTTTGGGGCAGAAACCTCAGACAGACCCCGGCTCTAGGTGGGTGGCCGTCTGCCTCGACCAGTTGGGGTTAGAGAGAGAGAGAGAGAGAGGGCGTAGAGGGGTAAAGATAGAAGGTCAGAGACAAAGGTGCACAGCAACAACTATACTAATAGAAGTGACTGATGATGATGATGAAGATGAAGAAGATGATGACGACGGAAATAGCCACAACAATGGGGGAGAATGAACAATAATAATAGTAACTATAATAATAATAATAATGATGACCACCACAATCCATGAGATTATGTTGTTGATAATTACTGTGAAGGGAATATATGAATGTATGATCAATTGCATTAGAACACCCTTTCCATGTTTCAAACAAAAAAGGGTAATCAAATGTTATTTTTACGATGAGTGTTAATTACTTACTGCCACCTCACAGCTGCTCACTAATGGAGCTGATGCAGAGATGTGGTTTGTAAATTTAGTTGGCTAAACCTAAATGCAGTTCATGGTTAAAATTAAAGGCACAGAGGTGGCTTCTTAATTTGTTCCACTTTAATCATTGCCACAACATTCAGAGAACAGAACAGACATGACATGATTCTTTTAACTTTTTCAACAGATCATGTCTTACAACACAGAAAATGTGAGTAAATAAACAATTTCACTTGACAGTGTGACAGAGTGGAAGATGACATTTGTTGGAAACAGGGTTCAAGTTACAATCTGAGCTTGGTGGGGGGTCCTTTTTGGTGTCATATGAAAGTAGGCGTTGTTATTTTAGGCACTGCTGGCTGCAGGTGCACAGTACCCTATCCTATGTATGTGGGAGGATCCATCATTTGTTGTGACACTGAAAATGCATTATTTGTGACTAAAATCATGGTTGTTAATAATGTATTAGTGCCCCACAGAAATGTATGATTTCACTGCTTTCATGGGAGCTCAGATCCCTTCTTATTGGAGCACAGCTCTCACTGGCTCCCACATATTATAATTCTCATAAAAGGAAAACCCATCTACAGTACTTCAGTCCCCACTTTTGCTTGTTACACTTAGCCACATCTCTGTTAGCCAGATCTTAAATCTAACTGCATTGTTTTCTCAGGCTACATGCAAATCAGCATAAGCGCCACAATACAGCCCAGGGGCTAAAAATACTTTCTGATATACTTGAGGAACATTGTTGAAATAATAAAATAATATTAGAAATGTCACATTCATATATCCTCTCTTACAGAAAGTTATGACAAGTTCATAGGTTTTTTGTTTGTTTGTTTTAGCCACGCTAGCATCTCAGCACATCTTTGGTCCAAATCAGCAACCATTCAATAGATTGTCATGACATTTTACACAGACATTCATGGTGGTCACAATGCATTGGTGATGTTCTGACTTTACCTCTAGTGTCATCGTAAAGCTGACATTTGAGGTTTTCTGTATAATGTCTTAACAGCTATTGGTTTATGCTGCAGTCCCATATGTGATGGTAGAGATGGGGAAAATGTTCAGCGTCACAGAGCTGCTAATGTAGCAGTAGACGCTGAAGTCTTCAGTATTTCTTCATTGCCTCTCTTCTTCAAGACTGCAAGAAATACCAGAAAAAATTGGAGTTACAAAATCTTATAATAATGTTATATCCAGTCATATGTAGCCTCATGAAAATGTACCATTACACCACTGCTGCAATTAATCTGTGTCTCAGTCCACCGCTGTCTGACAAGTCCTACAGTGTGTAACTTAGTTTTCCTTTGCCTATGTAAGTATGTACAAGGTGTGCTTGTTCTACATTTAAATATTGTTTAGTAAGAAAAACAACAATTTTTTAAGTGCACCAAGGAAAGCCTAATTAGTTTGCGCTTCACCTGAAAGGGCTATAATTTTCTATATTTCTATCAACTTTCACTATACTCCACTTGATTTCTTAAATAATTTCTATTAAGCATCTTCTTTATTTACTACAAAAAACAAAAAACAGGAAAACATTTGGTAGCCTAACTCAGACGTTAACATTACTGGCTGAGAGCCCTTAAAGCAGTGGTTAAGTTTTGATTTCCACTCTGAAACCCAGGCCTGTCAGATGGTCATTACTACATGAGTATAATTCCACTTGACTATTGGACAAAGTTCATGATGGAAGCAGGTTGTTAGTGTTGTTGAGATGATATTGGTTGGAAGTGTCAAAAAATCTAAGGCACTAATACCATACGTCATTACAGTCATTGTGAGTGGCATGAGTGTAAGTGATCAAAAGTAAGTTGCATGAGAAACTATGGGAAACATGTCCCTAATGTAGCCATTGATCTGCCATGGCACCGAAAATAACTTACCTTTGGTTTTCTTACAGCTGTTAGTCTACCTCCATGGGCACTTCATCAGCATCAGTGGATGATCCAGGTGGTGCCACATTGCTGCGAGGGAAATATAAAATCTGCCTTTGGTAAGCCATTCATAAACTAAACCTGTTAGTATGATGATGATGCATTAACAGTGAATGATATCCCCAGTGGAAAGTGGGCCATTGAGTATGTGTAAATCCATACACATACATTTTAGTGCACACTTAATGCGATAATGAGATAATGTGAAACACCTGCACCAGTTCCATTAGCTGATGAAGGCAACAAGGTTCCATTAAAGGTGGGGTAAGAAATTCTAGAAAATGCTATTCTAATCCAAGACATGCTTTTTATTATCTTATGCGTTCATTTTTAATATGAAAGGTGAAGATAGGCAGGAAACGGGGAGTGGAGGGGCAACAAGCAGCAAAGCGCTGCAGGCTGGAATTGAGCACCAGGCCGCTGTGGTAAAGACTTCTCCAACAAGGGGTGCGCACTCTACCAGGTGAGATACTGTGTATGCCACACAGCAGCAACTTCAGCAACAGTAAGCAAATCCACAACATAGCTAATGGTAGTTACATTACTTGCTGTGTCACAAGTTCAAACTATATCAGGATATTTGTCATTATATTGAATTTCTCCAGAATCACTTACCCTATCTTTACCTCTAATTTAAAACCATTATCAAGTTGCAACCACCTGACACCTTATACATAACTTCACCAATCATTGTGCTAGGCCTTTCATTAACAATATTACAACTAAGTAACATTAGTCTATAACTCACTGCTATTGCTTCCTACTTTGGCCAGAGCACTATTCTTTTATAAAAACAATTACACTTTTTCTGATTAAATAAAGTAATAATAAAAGAAAAGAAAAACATGCATGCATAAATGGAATCAATATTTGTTAAAAAAAGATCTAAAAGAAAGTACATTGATTTAGAAGAGATTCAATCTCATATTACCTGTTCATTAAATGACTTCCAGTCTCTGGAGGATCACACTCCATGGCAGTCTCCTCATCCTCACAATTAGGGGATTGGATAGTTGCTACATAACTACAGTACACAGAGAGACAAGTAGCCTAAATCAAATATATTAGTGGCATCAACAGGTGACTAGACAAACATTAATTCAGGAAAGCATTAAAGTTGACAGTATAGTGGATATGTATGTAAATTACAGTTACCTGTGAGGTCCAGAACCAAAAGCAGCCCCCTAAAAATACATACATCAAACTACATCAAGATTTATCAAACTGCATCAATATGTATCCATTGTACTGGAAGACATTTTAATTTTACTTTTAATTAAGTGGTTGAAACCTTACTTGTTCAGGGGGAATGTTAATCACCACAACATTGCTACAATATTGAATCTGCAACATAATCAAAAATAAATTGTAAAATGCATTGTAACTATTGTGACAGACATTTCTAAATGTAACGATGGCTAGGCTAACATGCTAACGTTGCTACAACACACGACTCTGATTCAGACAAGTTTTGCAATGCGGCACACATGAAAATTCCAACCGTAACTATTAAAGCTGCTTAGACTTGGACATACTTATAAGTCTTGTAAGTAAAATGTAAAACTGAAAATTAACTTACAAGCACGTTTGGCCTAGTATGGTGACCGATGGACTTCATTTTCAATTTTTGTACACGCAAAAGCTGACTGACGTAATACGTATCATGTCATGTGACAGAGAAGACATGGTACGCTTCTATTATACAAAAGGTATCTAAGTCTCCGGTCAAGATTGAACTTGAATGTATAGGTGTTCACTTAACAGAAATTTGAAGACATTTTAGTTTTAGTTTTTATTAATTTTATTTTGTCAACCACAAAATAATTCAACCTTATCATTTGGAGTTAAGTCTATTTGGACTTTTGAAGACTACTGAAGTTTTCTAACAGTTTGTTCACAAGCTGTCTGACAGGGAGTTAGCCTCCCTGGGATCTAATTAACCCCAAACATACATAACATCACCATGTAGGACAACATATTAAATATGTCTTTGTCTGTAAATGAATTTTGGCAAAACATACCTCTTTTCATGAGATCCTTGTAAAAAACATTAATCAGACTTTCCCTCTGTTCGTGTTGGTCTGCTTAAGTCCACTGTCTCAACTGAGAGATGTTACAGATCAGTTATTTCTATACATCTGATTCATCCAGTCTAATCTTATTCACGCCCAAAGACGGGAATGAGTAGTTCTACTTCTGCATTCTGGACTTCTGCAGAGTGGCATAAAACATTTAAGAAACTTAAACTACTGCACTTGATCAAAGTTAGAAAAAGATTTTCTTCATGAAACAAAATCAATATGTTAAGTGTTAGTAGGAGACAGGGTTTGAATTGAAGGCTCACAGCCAAGTATGTATGTAAACATACAATTAATCTGCTTTCAATATACTTGTGCAGAAATAAACATACAGCTAAGAACAAGTAAGACAAATCGGAACAAAGTTAAGCATAATTAGCTAACTATCATGCACATACAAGTAGTTGAAACAATCTATAAATATATATATATATATACAGGGATGCAAACAACTCACTTTTCAGCGAATGTCACTTCTTTTTCATGTCAATTTGGGTGACTTCTGTGAATCATCCAAAATAGTAACTTAATTGACTTTCCCTCCATTCATGTTGGTCTGCTGTCTGGAAATTATAGATAAATAATGTCTATACTTTTTGGTTGAAATTCTTTGTTCTGGTTCATCCAATCTAAACTTGTTCACACCCAAACGAATGAATGAAGCAATGTCTGTGAGACAAATGCTTCTGCATTTTACCACAAAAAAAACAGCCTTGCATAATAAATTCAGGAAACTAAAAGTAGTCCACTTGTTCAAGTTTAGAAAAACATTTAAGGATTTGAATTGAAGGCTCATGTTTTGAAGTCACACTTCATTTGTCTGCGTTTTAACAAGGTACAACCTTGTTAAAAATGCTTTGTGTCTTCACTTTAACCTTTTAAAAACTACGATAGTTACTACAATTCAAATTTTTCTTAATTTAGTTCAAATTGAGTAAATTACTCTATGTTTGTAAGAAAATATAATTATTTTTATGATTTTCTCTAAGATACAGCGTCAGACAAAAATCATCAGCTGGCTGTCACACACACTATTGCACAACTGTTTGTAGTCACTTAGTGAAAGGTCATCTCAGTTTACTTTTCGGTATCTCCAACTAATGCAGCGAAGCCTGCGAGCGAGTTTAGGCAACTCGAGCTGCGCTGCTATACACACATGACATGCCTTATTCCATAATCACTAACCAAGCA